TGGCTGTTGTAGAAAGTAATCTAAAGGTTTAAGGGCGAGCATAAACAGGCCTGCTTTGTCAGTGTTATACATGCGTCATGTCAGTGTTATATGATGATTATAAGCTTTGACAGCACAGGCAACCATGTTTAAAAATGGCTGTAGTTCCTCAATGGTGTTTTGGTTTTTCTGAATTATCTAAAGCTAAAAGTCTTCACTTTGAGCCAACGTTTTACAAATAAATACACCTTGATTATTGGACCCAACTGTGTAATAATACACAGTATAAAAATGTACATAGGCTCTGAGTCTCAAATGTGAAGCCAATATGGAAGACGCACCTTTTCAGAAAAGACATTTGGTCCATTTGGTCCAGATTTTTGCCTGATTGTTTGAAAGTTGTTGGGCATAATGGATGTGATGTGATGTCGTGAGGGGAAAAGTCTTTATTACCCGAGTGGTTGGTGAGTGAATTCTGGAAGCTCCGAGAGACGCTAAATGAGTGGTGGTCACAAGATGGCCAACTAAAGCACTTTAAAATAGTAACCACTGACCAAAGTGCTAGACATAGCAACAAAATTAGAAATTAAATAGATTAAATATATTGAAAAAATGAATACAATTAAAATGACAACAGAAGAGGTGGGGTCTTAAAAGCAGATCTAGAAATTGGGAAGAGGCTTGTCTAATGTGAAACAGCAACAAATTCCATAATTTGGGAGCCACTATGGCAAAAGCCCTATCCCATCTGAGCTCACGGCTATTCAGCCAAATCCCCAGTAGAAGTCTATGGGAGCACAACTCTTGGCCCTGCCCTCAATAAATAAAGTATAGTATAATTTAATATAGTATTTTTGCATACAATTCCTTTGAAAACCAAAAACCAATAGTAGATTTATGCTGTCTTTAGTCAGTAATTTAGGCACAGCAACAGAAATGCATCTTCTGTTAGTATCTTAGCGTTTTTGTACATTGAAATTACAAGTGCCTCTCAAATCATGTTTGAATCACACATCGGGGAAAAACCCATTTTGGAAGCACTCATGGAGACTTTGATTTTGCTTTCAGCTTTATTTCCATTATTTTACGATAAAGTAAATAATGAAACTTGTTGGACTTAAACTGGAAACAGTAGGATCAGTGTGATTACAATAACCATTGCATTCTTAATAATACTGTTCTGTCGTGTAATAAAATTATTGAATTTATTGTTGTTTTAAGGGTCAGTTAAAATGTGGATATAAATATTTTGGGATTTTATTTAGCATTTTGTTTTTTTCAGGTGGTGGATTTCCGCAAGAAGTCCATCATGTACTTTGATTCTATGGGAGGAAACAACGATAAAGCATGTGAAATATTGTTGTAAGTTTCTGTAGCAGATGTGCAATATTTGTTTAAATGGGTTATGTGTTTTGAGAGGTAAATATAACTCACTGAGTTTTGCACTTTTGCACTTCAATTTTGTTTTCCAGTGAATACCTGCAACAGGAAAGTAAGGACAAAAAAGGCAAAGAACTGGATACCTCAGGCTGGATTCTGCACAGCAAAACACGCAATGTAAGTTCTACAGACAAGGTTGTTGTGACAAGTGTTCAAATCACATGGTTTCAGGAATTTTAGATGGGATTTCATTATCTGCCTCACAGTATCGTTTTATTTATTTGGCATTTTACTTGTTTCTCTTTTCTATCAGACACTGTTCTACAGTTGAATCTGATAGCTGTAGATCTATAAAGTTCTTTTGGTTTTTTTGTAAAGCCCTCACTAGGTTTCTGGTAACAAATGGTTTCAAAATAGTGACAAATGTTAGTAGTCCAGTCTGAGGTTTTAAGTATACAATGTTCTGCTGCTTTTGTAAGCCTCCACAAGATACGAAAGCCATGTTATTGGAGCGTGGATGATTTGAAATGTTTAAAGATCCAGTTTCTTATGTTTGTGACTTTTGTTTTCTGAATTTTCAAATTAGTGTCTCAGCAGCTTTTACTGTCAAGACATTTTATAGATAATTTGTCAAAGTGTCAGATGTCATTTTGCTCTGTAGGTTAATCAAGGTTTGATTTGCAGATGCAAACTTGTCTTCTTTCTTTTCCTGTTCTTAGGAGATCCCTCAGCAAATGAATGGTAGCGACTGTGGAATGTTCACATGCAAATATGCAGATTACATTACCAAAGACAAACCAATCACTTTCACGCAGGTAACTTCAAACAGCATCAGTGAGAGTATCTTTTCAGTAAGCAGTCATAATGAAGGCTTAAAAATGTCTTTCCTCTTTTGTTTTTGACAGAAACATATGCCATATTTCAGAAAAAGGATCGTTTGGGAGATTGTAAACCACAAGCTGTTGTGATGTGAGGATGACAATTGTGAAGTTGTACAGTTGCCTCACATCTTGATGGTGGTTGAGTTTTACTCCCCAGGAAAGGACTCGCAGATGGGAGACTTGAATTCTGGGAACAACTTTCACACCAGCTCGTCTGATCAGGAACCAGCTCAGCGATTTCCATCCTCGGCTAAAAGTAGCTGAAAGGATGTTGCTGGAGCAACAAATCACTGCCTCCAACTTCTTCTACAGTTTTTTTTGTGTGTGTGTCAGACAGCAGCTCAAACGCTTTGATTTGTACGGTCCAGTCAGAACTGTTTTTGAAATTACACTTGTGCACATCATACTCTGAGGTGGAATGTTCATTACATGTTTTTGTGCCACAATCAGTTGTCATTGATCACTCATTGATTAACATGTATTGTGTTATCAGTAAAAGTTAAAAAAAAGTGTTTTAAAAGCAGATTACATTCCCAAATGTCAAAGTCTCTATTTCCCCCCTGATCTTCACACATGAGAACTCCACACAATGGTGGCACACATGAGATTACACACATGAGATTACACACATCGTGTTGATATTAAAAGTGCTTAGTTTGTTTCAGGCAGGCCTGCCTGGGTAAAGCATGTAGGATATTTGACACCTATTGGTTTGCTACACATTCTCCAGTTACCTGCTGATACACTGGTTTTCTGTCAGGGATCTGGAGCTTAAAGACATTTGGAGGTCTGACTTGGACTTTTGTGTTACTGCATACAGCTTTGCTGTAATGTCTACAAAGTTCAGAGTTGCAGCTTATGTGTGGATTTTACTTTAGTCTGTGTTTGGACGAGAATTTTGATGTTATAAGGTGAAGTTGATATTAAAATAGGTAATTACCTCATTGTTGCAGGTAAATTGATAGAATGCCACTCAGTTCTTTATGACACTTCAGTAAAGCTGAGAAATTAATGTGACATAACCTCAGAGTATGATTTAGAGTGAAAAAAACATTGTTTCTCCTTGATGCTGGTTTGCAGGTGTAACCAAACAATTACACCGTAAGAGTACGGTAAAAGTTCTGTCATTTGTTTATCCAGTTTTCTTGATGGTGTAAAATAAGGTTAAAAGTCTATTTTATGTATTTCGGTGTTCTTTTGTTCAACAACCTTTTGGTATATTCAGTATATTTTGAACTTTGTATATACTTAAAACCTATACAGCAAACAATGTAAAATACTTTTTTTAAGAATGTATTTCCTATCTATTTTATCTAGACTCGAGTCTGTTTTAGAAATAAATTCTCATGTATTGTGGCTTTTTTCTCCAAATACTTTCACATAAACTCAAACTAATTTGTGGTTTCAAAGACACGAGGTAAAGCATGAACTTGTCTTTGGTGTTGAGCCGCCACAGATTTCTTTCTATTTTACTTCTAAGGAGAGGGATGTTTTCAAAGTGCTCTTGAGCAGTTCTATCATTCTGAAGGTCTTTCAAAGTTTTTTTGGTGGGGGGGCATTGGCTCCTCTGACCATTTCAAAGGAATGTTTGTTTAAGCCACTTACATTGACTGAATAATTCAAGCATAAAAAAGCCTCTCAGCCCAAAGTATGAACCATTGGCATGTCTGCATGTAACATCAAAGAACCCATTTTAAACTGCTACCAGCAGCCTGTTGCTAAAATACATCATTTGTTCACATTTCTTTAGCTGAATCTTGAAAAAAAAAGCAAAGTTATTTATACCTGCCAAAGTGCGATTAGATGAAAACATGGCATATCTCATAATGTCATCTTGATGCACGCTCAGTCGTCCAGGTAAGTAAATCCCAAAGCATCGTTTCTGGATGTAGCATTTTCAGTGGGAGAAACATTTCATCACTCATCCAGGTGACTTCTTCAGTCTAAGCTGACTGCAGGCTTCCCCAGCCATAAACAGTAAAGTTTTGTCATGGTCAGCACATCCCATGTTGTCTTCAACCTACTAAAGGGACTTTAGGTAACAAACAAACAAAAGCACTGTCACAGTGAAAAAAAAATTTATTTAAAAAAAATGGCAAGTTCAAAAATCAAACCAGGATGAAAGTTGAAAAACTGAAGGGATTTCTTCTCTATGAAGGAAAAAACAAAAAGCCCTGCATCATGGCACAAACACTTACGGAGAGGTTGATGCGCACAATAAACAGACAAATTCATGGACATGGTTACAAAACTGACCCCATTTTTGACTGGATATATTAAATGACCTTCAGATGAAATAATTTAAAAATTAGCAGCAATAAGCCACAATTCATTTTTTTGTCTTCAATATATTTGGATTAAAATCGTGGAATGGTAAACACACAACAGTGAATCAGCATTTAAACATTTCTTTGCTTCATAGATCTAGTATCTGAAGGAGTTTAAAAAAAGAAAAACTTCAACAGTTTGCAGTGCATGAAAACAATTCCAGTCAGAGATAAAGCCCAACACAGCTGAGTAGCACTTCACACTCCCTTCCAGTGAAATCTAAGGCATTTCTGTGAGGTTTATTTGTCACCTGGAAATAAAAGGTTTTGTAGTTAAAGAGGAAAACAAGTAACAGCTAAGAAAGAACGAGATGGGACGATATTTATCCAAACCGTAAAAGTGGAAAATGAGCGGAATGATGAAAACAATGCTATGGTGCCTGTGTTTAAGCTAAACTAAACAAAAAGTGGCAATGTGCCTTCAAAACATATGGAGAGAGAAAACAAATCTGCCATATTTATTTATTCTAGGAGTTCTTACTTTTCCTACAGTCATATTAAAACAACCGCGTTTTGGTATGAAAAAGTTCCCTTTTGATGTTGCAATTCTGCTTACAATTAATGAACCATAGACAAATGTGTCACAAAAACCAAAACAAATGATTTAAAATGAAAAGAGAAAAGCCACGTCAGCCAGAATATAAAGTCACTGTGAGGTGATCCACTGTCGCAACACGAGGTGTCTCTTGGATATTCGTAGTATTGCATTTATAAGGACAATAAATTAATTGCATAGATCAACAGACCTTGGGGCATGTTTTCCAAACATTGGACGGAAGAGTTAAAGGATGTGGACACAGTACCAGCTGTGATCAGCCATGAGACCTACTGTAGTTGGTTATTGCCTGTGAACATTGAACACAAACTGAATCTACATTGCTCTGGCAGGATGAGGTAAGTCAAGGTTTTCAACATAAATTGCTCTTACACCGACTGCATGCGGTGCAACTCTGTAACAATGCATCTGAACCTAGCATACATGCTTCATCCATCATGAGAAGTTATGTCTAAAAGTGCCAACACTGGTGACACTGACAGAACTGAAATATTAAAGCCTCTTTGACATCAACACTGAAACCACAACAAAGCAAGTACGCAAAACACAAAGAAAAAAGTGAAAACCTCTATTTCTCACTATGAAGCACACAACACACTATCAAAAATAAAAATCAAAGCTTCTTTGAAAAATAAGATCAATCTTAAAAGTTTTGAAACTGAATTAAAAAAAATGAAACCTTTAAATAATGTTTAAGAACAAAAAACATGACGGTAAAAACCAGAAATGCAGAAGAAGATTGCAAACACACAGCAATGGCCAGTTTCAAAGCCATAGCCTGGCCGTTATGAATCACCTAAGTAGTGTTTTCTGCAGATATAACAGGACAGATTCATGCGTCACCGGTTAATCTCCATGTCTGTGTAATTACATCTTTATACTTTAATAACAACATTTCATTCCCGCTTCAGAAAATCTGATTTTTTGGGGGATTCAGGGAAGAATCTGCATCCTTGTTTACTTAAACAAAAAAAAAAAAAGAAAAAAGGGAGGGGCACTGACACATTACATCACATGTATCAAGGAAGTCGAGCGAAAGTGTGAATACATTTCAATCTATTTACAGGCAGCTCTGAGTGAGATGTGATCCCTGTTAAACAACTTTGGATTTCATCACGTGAAGCAGCTCAAAGTGAATCAATATTTAAAACTCTCAGGTAACAACAACAACTGGAATGCTTTAAATCTATTCATCTCTTTTAAAGTAGTCCGCTCTGAAATATTTCGGCAACGAACATCAGCTTAAAATGTTCTCTTCTGTGTAATCTTCTGATTGTCTGCAGCTTTGTTGAGATTGTTGGAACGAAACTTTTTTTTCTTTTAAATATATTTAAGTGCCAAAAAACTTAAGTGAGACTGCTTCAGGTAAGGTTTCATACCTGACAAACTTGCTGCCTTTGTGAGAGAAAGAAGCTAATCGATGTCAGCACCATATCAGTCTTACAAGATCAGCTTTTTTTAAAAAGGACTTCAGTTTTTCTGCTTCCGAATATTTGCACCAATCAATTGGACGAGGCTAGAAACACACAAAAAATAACCAAAGAACTATTTACAAAAAGGCAGGTTCAAGTCTGAAAGCATCAGTCAAAAAGGAGAAAAATGTAAAAAAAACAAAAACTGCATATCTTACAAAAGCAGAACATGACCTAAAACATGGTGTTGAAATGTTCTTTTCCTGGTTTCATCCTTGCTCCCCGGAGTAGTGTTTTGAAGAGAGAAAAAAAAAAAAGAATATGATCAATGGTCATACACGACACATTTAACAGCTTTTTGAACTTTTCTTGACCGTTATCAAAATAGATGCTCATTGTTCCATTCTTCCATTTCCCCACCGTCTGCTGTCCTCCAGCTTTGCTTGTCTGAAGTAAAAGAGTTTGTTTTAAAATCTGAGTTCATAGAAAATATCTTTGTTTTTGTCCTTTGTGTGGAACAGTTTGTGTTCCTGGAGTGTCTAGTTCTTCACACAGAAAATCTCAGCTCTTGGGACCCCTCAAGAGTCAGTCGGGCCCCAGATGAAGATCTAACGCAGGGTGACAAGATCAGCCAATTAGAACGCACGCACGCACACACAGTCACTTGGGGGAATCAGTCAAAACCCACCTCTTTACTTGTTATGCTGGTAAGAGTAGGTTGCATGTTCTGTTGGTGTCTCTATGGCAACAGGTTGTTGGACGGCACTTTCCTGAGAAAGAAGCACCAAATATTTAATTAATCTGCAGTTATGTAAAAGTTTGAGTGGTAAATGTTTCCAAAGGGAGGCGAGAGGTGGAGGTCAGTACCTCAACTGAGATGTTGGTGGCAGGCACTTGGGTGTACTGGGGTATGTAGGTCCCCTGCATAGATGTGTTTGCAGGCATATACTGGAAGAGAATGGAAATAAGTTCATTAGCTGTGTGAATCTGCACCCGGAGAAGAATTCAAATACAAAAAAGAAGCTGAAACTCAAAAGGCACAAACCACACAATTCTTACCCTGGCCTTTCTCATAGCCAGATACTGTGCACTGTACTTACTGTACCACTGCTGCCCATAGAGAGGTGACTGAGCTGCTGTGTTAGAGGCCCCATCATTGATGCTGGCTGGATGGACATGGTGTGGTCCATCCCAGGTGTCAGGACAGCTCCCTATGGGGAGAACATCAAGAATCAAAGCTAAATTAAAAGGGTCTTGAGAGAAACAAAAACAAATAAACTGCCAGATACTCACTGTGGGTGGCATTATGTATGACTGGTGATGTAGCCAGGACGGGTTGTGTACCTGCAAGAAAATCAAAGACGTGTCAGTTAATATAAAAACACACGTGCAGAAACATTACAAAATAGTTGCAGAAAATAAAGAAGAAAATATGGCTGAAATATTAAAAACAAATTTTCAAACCAAAAAGCTATAAAATTGAAAACACAACAACCCCAGTACCTGATAGGTGGACACAGGTGGATGCATATATGGGGAAAGGGAGGTTGGTCCAATCATCCGATTGGGGGTAATGCTATAGGGAGAGGAGTAAAACCTGCAGAAAGAGGCACAGAATTCTTAGTGACCACAGCTTAGACCACCACTCCTTGGGGCTATACAAGAGATTAGCATGAGCCAGCATACTGACCCATTCTGTAAGGCTGTGGTTGGGTCATAGGTGAGGGTCATTCCTCCCTGGAGGAAGAAAACAAAGGAGCAATGTCATTATGAGGGAGAAACATGAGGTGTTTGGATCCCCCCCTTACAGGCATAAAAAAATAAACTAAAAAAAACATAAAGCTCACAGTCTCTCCATCTCTTGTCCAGGGCCGACCGTTCTGCAGATATTTCCCCTGGCTCTGGCGCTTCTTCTGGCCTCCATCAGCAAATTTACACAGCAAGGGTTCTGACGGTGCTGAACCAGAGGTTTTCCAAACAGGAGATAACACTCAGTTTTCTAAAACCGTTTTAATAAGACTGTTGTCTTGATGCTGAATAAATAAAGACAGTCTACTCAGCCACAAATTTAAAAACAAAAACAACAAAAAAAACCTCCAGAAAACTCACCTTGAACTCCAGGTGGAGTCTTGATATATTTCCCATTGAAATGCTGGATGATGGCCTCACATTTTTCTGTCGACTCCATCCTAAGGGACATATTTTGTGCTTAATAAAACTGTAGAGAGCCAATCCAATGACAGTTTCTGCTTGAAAGGTTTCTACCTACAATGACCACCAGAGGGCCCACTCACCCAACATTATACTAAAAAAGTTGCTTTGAACTTTAGTACTCCCATTGGACTTGAGATTTTCTTAAATACACACAAGGTTACAGCACAACTAGTCAACTTCAGCCAGCTGTCCTACAACAGCGTGTACCTGGCAAAGCCCACTCCTCGACTGGTTCCATTGGCGTCACGGAGGATGCGTGTGGAAATGGCCTGACTGAAGGGCTTCAGCATGTTCTCCAGCTCCTGCTCGTCCATTGACAGCGGCAAGTTAGAGATGTACAGGTTGGTGGGGTCTTGTTCCTGTTGCTAACCACAGAGAAGCCAGAGGGAGGTGAATGATTTGGGGCTCTTGGTTTCCTTGTGACAGAACAACAGCTGAGGCATGACCATAGAAGCGTTCCAAGAAAATACAGCCGCCAGCAAACATTTGGGAAATTTACATAACCTTTGAACAGGACGTGTGTGAGATGACTGATATTTGGAGGATGGAAGGCAGAGGACATGAAAAAAAGAAGAAGCAAGAAAAGGTAGAAGGTCTGAAGCTGAAGTCAAAATGAAATCTTGGACCCGTGAGACGCCTGGAATGAGGTCTGGAGAGAAAAGAGACGGTGAACAAAGTTCTGGCTGGATTTCAGCTCAACTCATTTTAAGTCAAGTGAAATTTTCAGTTCTATTTCTATAGCTCACTATTACAAATTTAATCTGCACAGATCTTCATTACACTCTTCTCTTATTTTCCATCACTTACATTTTATTTCCAAAGGGTTAAAAAAGGGGATCATTGTTCAGAGCCAGGACCTTAAGAGGATGAAAGCAGGCGATTCAGCCACTGTGATATCAAAGCATAATTACATTTCATATGGCTTGCCATCCCTGGATGATCTAAAGCGATTACGTGCTCTCCCTTTCTCTCGCTTGGTGGAGAGAGAGAGAGAGAGCAGTGACATTTTGGACAAAGACCTTCGGGAACAATCGGGAGAACATCTCACGCATTGTGCTACCAAAAACGTGGTCGTTCCGTTTCCTCGATCATGTTACTAATGCACTGCTTGCATTCAGGCAGCTATATTCATGTGGTAATCCTGACCTTGAATGCAGGCACAGATGCTGGCTCTGTCGGCTTTTATAAACCAGAGAAAATATGCAGCGCTTCCAAATCTGAATTTAAAATGATTAGAAAACATGCTGAAAGAAAGTTTCACTCTAAGCAACTTGAACTGTTTTGTAGGCTCCTCCCCTTCCAATTTCCTTTGTGCCCTGCTTAAAACAAATTTAATGTGACCGACGGTATCTGTATCGCCCTCTAACCATTATGCATATTCATTATCTCAGAGTGCAGATGTGATTAAAAACCTGTAAATGCAGCGCGAGTTAATTTCCATGCCATGAATAATGCATGTGTAATCGCTGCGACCTGCGATGAAGGTGATTTCTCCTTCACCTTCCTCCCTCCCCGCAGTGTACACTAGCAATGAGGCTTGAACCCATGAGAGCGAGCAGCAGAGAAGCCCCAGTTGTGGATTTCATCTGTGAATGAGTCACAGTGAGTCAGAGAGAATTCTGACGCAAACACACAAGTCTTGTTGTAAAGCCGGGCTGAAAGGGTGACTGATATCAAGTTATTTTGCGAGCAAGAAGCCGTATGAATGTCAGTGATCCAGCTTAACGAGAGATCAGCTTTCCCAGGGCGCCGGTGGTGTGCGAGTCCGTGAGAGCGTGTCATAATCCGGTTGAGGCAAGGCTGCTGAAGTGCGTGTGCGATTGTCAAGTGGGCTCTGTGTGTCTGTGGGCGTGCGTGTGACAGGGCGGGTGGCTGGGCACTGTGCCCTGCTGACTGGGGAACTGCTCAGACACTGAGTCAGATGCCACTAGGGAGAACAGACAGGTCCTTTGTGCAGGGAGCTCAAAGAGCAGGCTCTGGGACGTGCTCCCCAAACACCATCACCACTATAAACACATACATACATGTAAGCATCCGTGGACTCTTTGTGCACAGAAATAGTCTTAAAGTGCACTATTATTGTGACAGCGCCGCAGGGTGCTGGCTTCACCTCTGAACAGCACCCTGGTTACTTTTCTGCAGAAGTTGTAACATTGCTGATGTTATTTAAACATGTAGGTGATTTATGTTTAAGTTTCCAAATGCCGCCTTTTAATCATATGAGCAATGTTGCATTGAAGCTGTGCAACATGCTGAACTCAAAAAGCCTGAGGTAAGAACATCCTCACTAAAACAGGGCAGATGATTTTTTCTCTCTCCCCGTTTAGTAATTGGTGTTTGGATGATTCTCTGGTTTAAAAATCCCTGCAACCCTTTCATTCTCTCTGTTACATAAACTAGTAACAAAAATCTGACACTAACTACGTCACTTGATATACAGTCAAATGTCAAGCACATGACATATGCCCCAGCATTACCAGAGGCCCCGTCTGGATGAAGCTGCAGGGAAAATTAACATAAGAATGACCGTTTCTGAACAACATAATGCAGACTGATGAAGCCAGCGATTTTATGTATGAAAAAAGCAGATTTAAGCATAAAGGAATATCTGATAGATTTTTTTTTTTTTTTTTTTAAAGAATGGGGCGCTAGAAACAGCAAGAGAGATCTGTTATTTCTTAAGAGGTAGAAAAATCCAAGGAGCAACCTTTTCCCTCTATGATTAATGAGTCAACATTTAATGTGAAATTAATGAATCAAATCATTATTCAACATTTTTGCTGAGACACTGATAAAGTGCTCTTTCAGGCTAAATTAAACTTACACCAAGCAGTTATAAATTAACCCACCGAATTTTGATACCTCAAGCTGAGTTCTCACCTTGGCCATCTGAGCCTGCACTCCGCCAGCCTTCAGTGCCGTCACTGCCTTCTGAGCAGAGGCTGGGCTATCAAAGTCGACAAAGCCATAGCCTGCAGGGAACAAAATATGACAGTGAGATGTGCATACTGCAGGAGAGGTGCACAGTTTGAACTCATGAGGTACTCGTGGTAACAGTGTATGAATCTGAAGAGACAGCTGGCTAGGACTGGAATGTGCGTCCCTCTGGGGGACAGATGGAGGACGCTGCCCATATTAAAAAAAAAATAAACACACACCTACTCAGTAGGTACAGTGTGAAGCTGACGGCTTCATGCACTTGTCAAACAGCTTTATTGACTTTATCAGCAGTATGCTGTAACCTTGCACATTACCGATACCAGCCATAGATTTCACATCGCACCAACATTTTTTTTTTTGGCTTCCCATGAAGTAAAGGAGTGATTTCTATAAACTATCAGACACCAGACCCCACATGATCTTGCTCTTTTATAGATTTCTGAACTTTGGCATCTCGGATCATCTGATCACGGTCTCTTATTTACACGCAAGCCCATTCGCCCAGTCCAAGGTTGACGGTGCTGTGGGCTCAGAGTAGTCCTCTCCTTCTCTGCTGGATTTTTACAGAAACTATTCCCTCTAACATGTTCATATTGGGTTTTTTTTTTATTCATTTTCTGTGCAGCGATGTGTAACTATGAGCATTTTCACACATCTGGACCATGTTTATAAAAAAAAACAACTAAAGCAAAACTGTGGCAGGATGCAAATGTGTGATACAGTCAGATCTGACAGTGAACCTACAGACACCAAATAGGGACCAGTTGTGCTGCCTCCCCCACATTCTATTAAGAAAGTATCCCACCTAAAAAAAATGAGGTATTTCTCCTCCTCCCACACATTTCAGCAAAAACCATGATGAGAAACTAGTTTCATATTTGTGGTGTAATTTTACCACTTGATATGCTACACAATGATCAGCTGACTAGAAGAGGCGTTAGTGAACTGAAAGGCCACATTTCAACAAATATTATGGATGAGCATGGAACAGCTGTGTTTTTTCATTTAATTAAAACAACAACAACAACAAACCCTCACCTTTGCATTTGTTGGTAGTCTTGTCCAAGATGGCCTTTGTGGACACAATTTTCCCATACCTGAAAAACAGTGAGGTTTGCACTCAGAGGTCGTCCTTCCACTGTGTGTAGATGTAATACTCTTGATAACTAAATTGTAAATCATCTAAAGATTTCAATAAAGTTACACAATCACCACATCTGATAACAAATCCAAGGCAGGGCAAATTCAGTTAGAAAAAAATGATACTGTCCCGTGGGCTTCTGCATTCTAGGAGGACTATAGATTTACCATATCTTATTCATTCTAGCTCACACACAAATGTCAATAGGGATCATATCTCCAGGGAAATCCAACATGCAGTGGCAAACTGGTAGATATGAATCCCCCCATCAATTTTTTCAGAGATTGCATCATAATTCACCGTAAATATGAAAATTCTACATTAACTACCCACACCCCACACCCCACCTAGCCGTAGACACTGCAAATACATAGGATAGTGTTCGACTTGGGCGAATGGTTCTGTGCAGCAGGGTCTATCAATCCCCATCTCTCCAGGCATGTGCATGCAGTGTAATCTGATATGCCTCTCCTTGGCTGTCCTGTCCAATACTGGCTCCCAGCCACACTCTCATTCTACTAACCAGCTTCTCTCTAGACAGCCTTTAACCCTCCACTGGGTCTTAGTGCCCCCTGAAATATAATTCAACTTGCATCTAGTGGCACAGCACCACTGCCTCACTCTGAGAAATCAATTTCATAAATAATTTGACTTTTGTAAGTAAGGATTAGCTGATGACCTGTTAGCTGTAATGTGACAGTCTAACATATTCTTTTTTTTTATAAAACACATTTAAAACAAACAAAAAAATTAAAATTAAAAATAAAAACACAAGCCTGGAAGCATTTCCCCCACTTTTTTTAAAATGGCTTAAGGTCATCTGTGTAGGATGTAGGACAAGAAGATCAAACAGTCATATAAATTCACATTACAGAACTTCATCTGATTATTCTGTTTGATTGTGCCAAACTCTGAGGACTGTAAGGGGGAAAAAACCCAAACACTTTTCTACCTTGCAAGCAAATCCCAACCTGAATGCTGATGTGGGCTTGTTCTTTGGGTTTTCCTTGTCCTTATAACATGCACGAGAGCATGTTGGGCTGTGTTGACAATCACACATTTTTGATATTTTATCTACTATAACAGAGATATTTCATGTTACAGTCATTCATTTGGTCTATTTTCTTGCAATCCCATCCAGTGTGTATAAGCTGGAGGGCCCTTTGCCCTCATATGCAAAACAGCAATTTCACAATGCATTTCTGACTCCAAGTGACAAAATGCCACTCACTTGACTGGATGGATATGCCAGCATTGTGTTCCTACATTTGCATATACACTATGGCAGTGCCATCAGCCTGCTTATTCTCACAACAACTAGCATTTAAGTTATGAGCTCTTCATGCTGCACACTTGCTGCATAACCAGAGCGGCAGCAAGGCACCCGGAGACACAAATGCTGGGCCCGGTGGCCAATGGAGAGCCAACCCCCAATCCCATCCCCGTCTCTCATCCCTCACTTGGTACACAGTACATCACAGAGCTTGCATGCAACAACTCTCAGTGTGGGGGAGGGGAGCTCTGGAAGTGCTGCGTCCTCAAAGTATACGCAGATTTACGGTTCCAACTAGAGCAAAGTAAGTCAGAGTCCCTACATGAGTAGTCTTCCTGCTGCTTTACATCCTCATCTACAAGCCGTTACCCCTTTAACTATTATTGGACACAATATCCTCTTTCATTCTAGTTTAACTGAAAATTACATCAGCCTTAATGTGCTCTGCTAAAAGGCACATTTCATGCAGTGATTTTTATCTGCTCCGTAAAAGCAGAAATATGAGAACTACCCCCACAGAACACCACCTGACACACAAACCCTGAACTCCACTCACTCCTCCCCCTCTGACCCCCCCACTACCATTGCCCTTGTTTGTCTTTCCCTTTCCCCTGGGCTTGCCGTTTCCTGTAGGGTTGGGCTGCCTCATGTGAGCCATAGCTTCCAGACAGCTGTAAAATAGCAGGCCTCACCCTCCCTCGTTCAATCTCTCTAGCCCTCTTTTCCCTCCTTTTCTCCCACTACTCTCCTCTGCTCTTCTGGTTCTCATCACCAGGCTCCATAATTCAATTAACTAAGAGCAGATCATTCATCTCAGCCCTGCATGTTTTGATGTCTTCCACTGAAGGCCTAACAAACATATCAGATGGATTGGATGCTGCTGCTGTTTGATGTCTGACTACATGCTGTCCACAACAAAGTTCTCGAAGACTCACAGCCACACTGATGAGCAACATGGCGTGATATTTATAGTGCAGAAGTGACGCTGTATCTGGATGACAGGGCTCACTGTCATACTGTATCATGACTAAAACATAAGAGAAAAAATAATCATAGATTAAAAGTGTATGAATGAGCACGAAGAGACAGAATGAATTAGCATGAGAGAGTGAGACTAAACATTCTGTACCTAGTTGTTGGAAAGTCTGTGCTCAGCTATGTCAGGCTGAAAGGTCTTAGTTTGCAGCCCCAGTGATTGTTAGTTTTTCCAAAAAGCCACTACATGATGTGTTAAAAAAAATGCATGGATAAATGTGGCCCTCTTGTACATTACATAAATACCAAATATGGTATGGTTTAGTGTTCCTGTGCACTTAAGTTGTATAGAAACTATACATCTTCTTTATTTGCCAAAAGTAGAGATGCAAGCCTTTCATCCTTGCAGCCGACCAGCCATCACCCATTATAATCTAGTCTGCTCTAGCCGGGTTCATGCTTCCTCAGACAGCCAGAGAAATTTATTGGGTGTAAGTGCACGCTGAAGTAAATGTGTTTTAGGTGACTTACGGCTGACAGAGTTTGACCAGATCCTGGTCTGTGGTTCCTGGGTGGAGGCCACGGATATAAAGGTTGGTTTTGCTTAGCTGCTCTCCCCCGCTGCTGCTGTTACTGCTGCCATTGCTAATTGTGGTGGTGTTGCTGTTGGGGCTTGGGGGAGCCATCTGATGATTGGACGGGGACACATATGTCTGCTGTGGAGGAAACAGAGGGCTCTTTTTAGGTACATGAAATTGGATGTACGCATGGATGCAGTCATTAACTGGAAATAAAAAAAAACCAACCAGTTGAGGCTAGAGAGATACAGACAAGATATCAGCATCAATTTAATGCTTAATCTGGCTGGACAGGTCAGGCCAGTCAGATAAATATTATAACAGGTCACTGTGAGGGAAAAACAGAAATATAAGATATAACAAGTATTACGATTACACAATTTATACTATTTATATGAAGCAAAATATGAGAAGAAATAGTATGTACCATTGTAGTATTTGCAAAAAACAGAAATACTAAATAATAAAAGTCAGATTGCATTCATATACAAAGATTCAGTCAATCAGCCACATTTACTAGGGTATGCAAAATTAATATGGAGACATCTTAAAATGCCTGTTTTTATTTGTACATTGCATATTTTCATGTACGTTTTGCTGAACTGACTTTTTAACCTCCATCAAAACAAGCATCTAAAGCTAGTTCACGAGTTCTAAAAGCTAGCCAGTGCCTCCTCTCAGCACACTGTGCTGTGGCTGCCATAGAACAACAGGATGGACAGGTTGGCATGAGTATGTCTTTGTGCAGCTCCAACTCTACAGGCATCTCTACAAACCATCAACGCAAGAGCGCAGGATTCACAGATGGCACACAACTCGTGTTGGGAAGATTGCTAAAAACAGATGGAAAAGAGGACTTTCTCCAGCGAACAGTGGAAAAGTCCACAGTTAGCCAATCAGACTGAATGGCTTAACTTTGTGTACATTAATTCTTTAATTGCTTTCCTGCGTACTTTTTACAGAAGCACCTTTCATTTAGCAGAAGACTGCTGCTAGACAGGTGCATTGGAGAACAATGACAGCTAAAAAAGTGAGTTTACATGCACAACATCCATCATCAAAATCCTTGAGGACCTACAGAGGCCTCTCCAAAACTACAGAACTTGGTTTAAAAATGAAACTACATACAGAAGCAAAGCTGAAAAGCTTAAAAAGACACCCTATTTTTTTTTTTTTTTTGCTGTTTTGATGAAGCAAACTTTGTTCACTCAGAATGATACTATTACAGACTCTTTCAGGAAGTTTTATAAAGCATTCCTTTTAGGTGGATATTGACAAAAACCTGCTAAAACTAAAGCTTTCTATTAAGCAGAAATGGGTGATTGCATACATTTCTGAAAACATACTTAAGCTTCCCATCAGCAGCAAAGTGGTTTCAAACAAACAAACATTATACAAGCAACTTCTAAGACCACAGCGGACTCATTTAACTGACACATGACTTTTTTGAATGCCCAGAGTGTTGTCGGTGGCCAGATAGCAAACAAAGAATGACAGCTGTATACAGTGCTACTCCAGCTGATCCCATCTTGTGCCAACCAAATTAAATTAGTAGGGAAGTGAAGTAAAATGTATCCAAACGCCAGCTACGCTTGGCCTTGGTGTTGCGTCCCCTCTTACTGCTGGAGGAGGAGGAACAGTTTGATTAACTGAGGTCAGAAGGTCAAACCACAGAGAACAATGGGGTGGCTTGTAGCGGTGGGTGAGTCACAAAATATAGTTTTAATCCATTACCAAGCAACAACACACAAGCCATGTGTATTAACCCTTGCCTAACAGCAGGCATGTTTAAATATCAGAAAGTTCTGTCATCCGACAGCAGCAGAGATCCCAATCCTGCGATAAGAAGGAATGTGATGGATGTATTGGATCGATTAGGCCTTGTATCCAACTCAAAGTAAGACTTTAGCTATATGCGGCATCTTTACTATAAAGGGATTGATCTTCCTGCACCAATGGCTTGTTGGACCTCACAAGGTCACCCTCAGGCCATCGGCTTATTAACAGAAAGGAAGAAAGACAGCTGGAATCAGCCTAATTATGACCCATGTCTTCTTCCCTTCCTTCTTAAAGACCAAGGGTAACATTCAACAACCAACTAATATCTCTCCAAACCTTTAACAGTGGTTTAAAAAAATGAATGAATGCACATCTGTTGAAGATGTAAGTGAAAAATATTTTTAATGCACACCCATGATGACAAACATAAACTCTGTCATTCTGATGCACTTCGAATTTAGCCATTACCTGAACGATCTTGAATCCGTACAGCTTTCACCAGACAAACATGCTTAGCTAACCACCACGCTCAACATTACCATACAGGAAGACAACACTGCGGTATGCAGATCTCAGTTTCATAACTGTTAGATCCCTACATTTGTAGGAGTTCAAAATTCAGCTTTGAGTAAACTGTACCAGCCCAGAAATACTGAAACAGTCTTACACACATGGGCAAGAAGAGCAGAAAAACAGACAATCAATGGCTGCTTCAACAAACCACAGTGACAGGACTAATAGGGGTGCACTACATTTAGGACTGGTCACATGCCAGCCAACACAGAAATATTGCTGTTTAAAGCAGGAAACAAGGAACAGGAAGCAAGATGGAGATATCAAAATTTGGTTTGGTGCCATTTCTGTATTTCAGCAATTTTTTTTAATGTAACATGAATTCAAACCAAAGGGTTTCCAAGCTGTGAAAGAAAGGCTGGAGGGCCTCTGTTGTGTTTTGTTTACACTGTAATGACACACTATTAAGGATCAGAGACACATTATGTAAGTGGCTAATGGTACAGCATTGTACATGAACTTGATTATAAAGAGTTTGAATTTTTACAGCATTAGAGACTTAAAGATGTTTCCTGTCCGTGGAGCCTTTATTTAAACTATATTTATAGAAACCTCTGAACAAACTAGATGAATATCAAAACCAAATCTTTAGTCAAGCTAACAACAGGCTACAGGCATATAAAATAAATGAAAGGATATGGAGTTTCTCCTAGTACAAACCTTGCTTTATATAGTGATTTATGTGCAAACTTTTATGCTTCCCCACTACTCAGCTGCCTTATGATTTCCAAACCGATATGGAGTCATCCTTCCGAACTTGAAAGCTATCTTTTTATTCGAGCTGAGAAAACCACAGACCCCATTCATCTTATCCTGCTTCTCTAATCTCCCTCTCTTCTTTAGCATCAGTACACTGTTTGTTTTTCCACAATCACAGTCTTTTCTGGTGCTTTCCCTCGCCTTCATGATAAGCGGCCTGCACAGGCTGTCAGGAGGGATGCACCTGCAAAGGCTTGGGGAGACAGGATCCGACGGGAGACCGAGCCCGGGCCCGATTCTGGCAAGCGAAGCCTTACTAATTGGGATCTGAGCTTGTTAGCGGAAAGTGCTAATCCCTCTCATGTGCTCTCCAGTCAGAAGGTAGTGTCTCATTAAGAGCGCTCTGCTAGGCTCCATCTGAAAAGAGGATGGCAGTGAGTCAGCTCCACACCTACTCCCCATCTGCCCCAGTCCCGCTCCAGGTGTTTTGCCACCCATGTAAGGTAATTTCCAATGTAATGGTGCAAACACATGAAAATATGCATGCAAAGGGTAGCCTGTGACAAATGCCTTTAATTTAAATGATTAGGAATTAAAAATCTCATTTTACAGGCTACATTTCTTCTCAGTTAATCATTGCACAAAACCTGACTTCCTTGCATACCACTGATTTCCCAGCTGCAAGCATGTTATTTGTCAATCCACAACCGCTGACATACAGTATCTGTTTACACTGCTCCTTATATCCATAACAGTGTCAGCGTTCTTTACATTCCTCTGCAGCACATCAATACAAGGAGTAACGAGGACCATGGGTTCAAGATTAAAGTTCTTTAAACTGAACTACATTCCCAGAGATGCCACCGTTCGGTGCAATTCACGTCTTTGAAATGTTGATCATGAGTTAATGTAATGTGTGTGTATGTATGTATGTATGATTCATACACACGCACATTGAATGAAAAATGCATGAGGATGTTATTTATTTATTTTCACTATATATTAACTAATCAATGCTATCTGCCTATGAACAACTGATGCTCCGTTGCTTCCCTATGCAGTCCCCACTTCCCAGTTACTATACGATTATCTCTTTACAGCCTCAGAAAGATAAATCAGCGCTGTGTGTTGTCACCACAGCTGTGCAAGCAGCATAACTACAAAAAAAAAAAGGGGGGGGGGGGGGACTACACCATGTTGCAGAGAGCAGCTAAAGACCGATGAGGTGATTACAGTTGGAGGGAGCACAGGTGATTCCTGTAGGGAGAGCAGGTGACTCAAGGACTTTTTCACCCAAGCAAGAACAATGAGTGCTAAATGAGGCAGAACGCATGCTTTTAACTGTATGAGTCTCACTGTAAGACGCTTTAATGCTAAATCTGTTGATACAGAGCATGTTAAAACAAAATGCAACATCGGTCAGACACCACATTTAGTTCTTTTGTTTGATTTAAGTTCATATTAATCACAAGATAAGAACACAGTAGCCTATAAAATCCCAGATGAATTAAACTGTACAAGCAAAAATTCATTTTGCTTATCATTAAACGCATATTTGCTTATTTCTATTACCATACAGTAGCCTTCGATCTATGCACAAACTACTAGCATCACAAAGTCGATCATGTTTGCACTACGCAACAACAGCATCTTTTATAAATTGATGATATATTGTATCACAGAAAGAGATCCATCCTACCTCCTAGGTTAAAGAAACCTTAGGTGCAGTGGAAACGATTTTAGTATTACAGATGCAATCTTTTTATATTAAATTTCTGTTGCTTCAAGCGAAAAAAAAAAAAAAAA